TGTTGTCAGAACTCCAGTCGGCTGAGGCCTTGTTCACTCAGAAATCAGTTGTGATGGTTGCCGAGCAAGCCGGACCTTCTAGGCCTCACAAGGGCAAGAAGAGGAAGAAGGTTGCAGGAAAGGCAAAGGCACAGAGTACCCAGTTAGTACCTCAACAGGCTGTGGCAAAGAAGCCGAAAGGTAGATTCCACAAATGCAATAAGTCAGGGCACTGGAAGGTCGATTGTCCTCTCCTCAAGAAGGGCAAAGAAGGTAACTCTCATACTTTCGTCATAGAAACATGTTTAGCGGTTGTATCTACCAGTACCTGGTGTGTAGATACTGGAGCTACTAATCATGTCTGCAATTCTTTGCAGGGGTTCCAGGAAACCAGGCGACTTAGGGATGGAGAGATTACAGTCTACATGGGCAATGCTATGAAAGTAGCAGCAGTTGCAGTGGGAGTAGTTACTTTAGTATTTGATGCTAGTATTTTGGTTTTGAACAATTGTCTTTTTGTTCCAAGTTTTAAGAAGAATTTAATTTCAGTTTCTTAACTCGTTTTGAATGGTTATTCAGTTTCGTTTAATAACTCAGTTGTTATTCGTTATGGTAATCATTTGATTTGTTCTGGTTCAATGGTTGGCAATCTATATGTTCTGAAACCAAAGTCTCCCACACTGCAACAAAATGAATCGAATAATGTCTCGACTAAAACTAATAAGAGAAAAGAGTCTTAGATGAATCAAGCATATCTTTGGCACCTTAGTCTTGGACACATCAACCTTAGGAGGATTCAAAGGTTAGTATCTACTGGGCATCTTGGTCCAGTAGAAGATCATTACCAGACTTGCGAGTCCTGCCTAGAGGTAAGATGACCAAGAGGCCGTTTACAGCAAAGGGGCGAAGGAGCCAAGAAGTGCTAGGATTGATTCATTCTGATTTGTGTGGTCCTATGTCGATCCAAGCTAGAGGAGGCTATGAGTATTTCGTGACTTTTATTGATGATTATTCTAGATATGGGTACATTTACTTGTTGCGCCGCAAGTCCGAATGCTTTGAGAAATTCAAGGAGTATAGGACAGTTGTGGAGAAACAACAGGGTAAAAGTATCAAGTGTCTTCGATCTGATCGAGGAGGCAAATACCTCTTTGGAGAGTTTAGGACATACCTATCAGAAGCAGAGACTAAATCCCAGCTGACTGCACCCGGCACGCCCCAGCAGAACGGGGTTGCAGAGCGAAGAAACAGAACTCTTATGGAAATGGTTAGGTCGATGATGAGTTATTCGAAGTTACCAGATTCGTTTTGGGGATTTGCATTAGAGACAACATGTTACATTCTGAATTATGTTCCTTCAAAATCAGTAGACAGTACTCCTTATGAGTTGTGGAAAGAGCGCAAGCCTAGTTTCTCACAAATTCCAATTTGGGGTTGCCCTGCACATGTCTTAGTGCAGCAGGCTGGCATGTTGGAGAAACGATCAGAAGTAAGACTGTTTGTCGGCTATTCCAAGGAAACGAAATGTGGTTTGTTTTATAGTCCTGAGGATCAGAAGGTGATCGTTAGTACGAACGCTAGATTCTTGGAAGAAGACTATATCATAGATCATAAGCCCAGTAGTAAACTTGTCCTAGAGGAGTTAGGGAGAGATATTGATAGTTCCCCACCGAGTGCGCAAGTAGATACATCACATAGTACTGCAACACGTAACACTGATAGTGTGCCAGTACAGACGGTACCTCGTCGTAGTGGGAGGGTTTGTACACAACCCCACCGATGGATAGGTCTTGGAGAGTCATCAGACTCAGTTCCAGGAGACCTAGAATCGGACCCAAGAACTTATGACGAGGCACTCCAAGATAGATATGCAAATTCGTGGAAGGTTGCAATGAAAGCTGAGATGGGGTCTATGGACACCAATCAGGTCTGGGATCTTGTAGAACCACCCGATGGGATACGTCCCATTAGGCTGCAAGTGGGTTTACAAGAGAAAGAGGGGATCGGA